CACATACTGTTACATGCATAACTGAATCAATTATTATTAATTCTGCAAAGTCAATTCAATCACGACGAACAATGTATTAATGTGCTTAAACCATGATTGTGATGACATATGATAAGTGTGAGCTGAGAGTCTGCAAGGTTTTTATGCATAAGTGGCATTCTGACTTTCTATCTTACAGGTTTTTGTGTGTCAATATTTGTGTTTCAATATAAAAAGAAGATGTGGTATGATTGCTAATCAGACAACTCTCCACAATAGACCAAATGACACAGAAATTAACAACTATAGGTCAAAAGCCGTTACCGTATAGTCAGCTATAAAAGGTCCCGAAATGACTAATGTAAAACAATTCAAATGAGAAAACTGACGGCCTAACTTATGTACAAAATAATGAACAAAAACAAATATGTAACACAGCAACAAAAAACAACCACTGAATTACAGGTTCCTGACTTGGGACAGGAACATACAGAATGTGGTGGGGTTAATGTTTGAAGGTGTCAACCCTCCCCCTAACCTGGGATAGTGGTGTAATGGTACAACATATGGAAGGCTTTTATCAAGTTGTATTATTCATTTGTGAACTTGGAATCTAGAGAAAAGTAGATAATCACAGAAAAAATGTGTTGTATGAATGGTCCTCGTTTAACAGCCTTTATGAAGCAAGTGAAATGTGAGTAGCTTTGTACATAAAAGTTCATCATAAAAATTTCACTAAATTTGCATTTTACAATGTCTTTTGTAACTGCTGCATTTCACATACTATCTTTCTCTTCTACTGTAGGATAGTAAGTGGTTCAAATATATGCCTGTTGAGACTACATGCAGAAATACATGCAATAGAAATGAGCAAAAGAAAAACAATTTTCTATAACTATAGCTTCAGTATACATTTTTAAAAATAAATACAATGTATGTGCTACGGCTTAAATTGACCCTAAATTATTTCCAGTGTTATTTGGCCTAAGACCATTTAATGCTAATATGATATGCTATTCGTAATTTTCTTTCTATTCTTCATGCAAGGCCCCCCTTCATTCGCAATCCTTAATTTTTAAGGCACAGACTCATACATTTTTGTTATTTTGACATTTGAATAATTTTATACATCTGATACATCAAATGAGTATTCTATTTCTTTAAATACATGACACATTTAATATTAGGGCATTTAAAAGGTATATTTTGCAATATTTAAATGTTTAAAGCCCCAAATGTTGATACTCAACATTCTTCAATTTTAACGTCAAAATTTAACACCCAAATCATTTTGTCTATCATATATATCTTATGGCCATGAAACTTGGTCAACAGTCTTTTAATTAAGCAAGCTTTGGTCGCACCAAGTGTTGTTCAGATCGGTTAAGTCTTTCTATCCTATCAGATAGGAATATAGTTATCGTCCTTGAATTTTTCGTTAATGTCTACAATTATAGACTCTAGTGTGAACATTGTTTAACTTGCAATTTTTTGTTCATACACCTTTAAAAAAATGTATGCCAATAGAAGAGGAGGTAAGACTAAGGGGATGCTATTACACTGTAAAAAAAAATTGGGTAATGAATGATCCAGCTGAAAAAGGTTAAAAATTAGGATGTCTGAAGCTGTCAAAAGATTTCAAGACCCACTTAACATGAAATTGTCCATATTTTGAGTTAAAGCTGATGAAGTTTTCTATAAATTAGATACAAATTGTCCCAAAAGTAGTAAATATACTGTAAAAATTTATTATTGAGAAAGCGCAGGTGCAATTTTTTTAATTTTCATTTATTGTCTTAAAGAAATGCACTACGAAATAACTGTGTTCTCGAGCCAATTGCTGACCAGTCAACAGCAATATTAATTTATGAACAGAGGTCTAATAAGCTTTAAAAATTAAAAAAATATTTATGACAAGACAGGTTTTCCTGTTAGCATGTTAGGAAATAAACGTTTTGATTTTTTTAACATGAAGGTTCTGCAGGATCAAATAGGAGGGTCTCGATAAGTTTTAAAGAATAGAGAATAATGCATGTAATGTGCACAATAAACATGATAAATAAAGAAAATAAGAAAATAGACATAACAATGAGGAATAACAGGGTGTTAAATTATAGAAATGTTAAGAAATACAGAAAAATGGAAAAAACAAAATAAAGAATAGAGATAAATGGTACATGTATAAAGAATTAAAGAAGAACGAAATGAAGGACCCTACATCCAGACCATCAGTAAGGAAAGGTAGTTTTGTGAAATCATTCATATTAAAAAATAATTTATACAGCCTACACGGGAAATGTTCTAAATTTTAACAGTGTGCATGCTTAACCTAAAATGTGACAACTGGAATCGGTGCAAAATCAACCGCATTCCAATATTCCAGATTTACAACAAGAAAATTATGTTTGCAAAAAACTCCTACTTTCATGACCTTTTCTCCATGAAACCCAAATGGTTTTACCTCTATGGAGATGTATACACCAGTCTTCACGCTCAACCACAAGTCCTACGGCCCAGGCTTGTAAAATTGCTTTCGGGCTTGTAAAATTCTTCTCTACAAGCAAACAGAATCCAACTTAAATTTTCAAAAAAATGAGCTTCGGGCTTGTGGACTCAAAAATTTATCGTGAAGGCTGATACACATCTGAGCTCTAAGGTCCCCAAATTTTCAATCAAAATACGTGAGCGAAGTACCATGAGCTCTGCCTATGGATACAAGTATATTTCAGCCTGAAATAGAGGGGGGGGGGGGGGTCATTGTTTTGTTGTTCACCATGTTCACTGATTTTGTTTTGAAATAATTTCTGCTAATTTTACGCTTGCAAATAATTTTCAGGGGTCGTGAATCGCTCTTGAGCACTTGAATTCAATTCATTAGTACTTACTTAACAGTTTTCCCCCTTTTTTCATGATTTGTTTACATCAATCTTTCGCATATTTGCCGGACCTTTTCTAGTTTAAGACAAGGATGAAACTGCTTCATAAGCTACCAAAATGAAGATCGTAATCTATAATTTTCGATCTGCGTTACAGTATTAATGAAAAGCAGTTCACGTGTTCGATTATTATGAATTACAATTGTCTTTCTCTCTTTTCCGACTTCAAGAACATGCTCCATATTTTTAGAACGGAAGTACATTTTCAACAATGAAAATTGCAAAAATAAACTTTATTAAGTATTGAAATTGCAGTTTTTAATTATTCAACTCTTCCTCAGTGTAGTTTTTAAAAATAAAAAAGATTATTTTAATAATCAAATGTTATTGTTACGACAATAAGCAAGACTTACGATGTCATTGCGCAACTTCATGCGCAGACGGCGCGAAAATTTAAACCCCCGAACTACCTTAATCAAATTACTTGTACCTTAACACGGTTACGGGCAGCAGGATTATTCGGATGGAATATTCATTTTCACCAGTTGCTGGGCCAGCTGATGTGTTTCGTGAGAAAACTTTTTTTCACTTTGTACACAACTATTTCCCGCATGTTGTGAGGCAGAATATTCAGTTACGTCTTGTCTTGGATGCGTGTGATATTTGTTTGGTCGTCCTTTAATACACACTATTTTGTCACTCTTTTTTATCTGTTTGATGTTAGCATAATTAACTAACACTATGAATTCCATTAACCAGTTTTCCGTGTCTTCAATCTTGAGATGCTGGTAATATACGTGACTATCGTCCTTCCTACGTACAGCGTATTGGGTTCGTCGTCCTGGTATCAATCACATGTTTTATCAATAGTGCAATAAACCTTTATTGTGTTAACTACCTCGATGGTCTATTGCTACCGTGCGGGATTCGAATCTGGCCCGATTAAACCAAAGATTTGAAAATTGGTGTTTGCTGCTTCTCCGATAAGCACGGAGCATTTAGGAGACAGCGTAAGGCTGGTTGGCTTGGAGTCAGAGTAATGTGTCCTGGTAGGATGACATATTGTGCTGTGGACTACCTTGTGAACTAGCAAATTCCGATCAGCTTGTCGGTCTATTACAAAGCAGTAATATTTATATTCATATCACATTATTGTCTTCTCGACCTTAGTATGCATTTAATTTACTACTGGACGATAAACAGCCATCAGTCTGTCTATCGATGATAATGTTATTAATTTGTAAGACTATTTTGCTGCAACAGAATATGACAAAAATATATGTATTTGCAGATAAACACTTCCAATTTTGTACAATTTCTATTCAAAATTTTGTCACTTTACGTGAGATTTTTTTTGTGAGAGAGCTGTCTACTTTTAGTTTTTTATCATTGCATTTTTTTCTATTTCTTTAGATTCAAGTTTAGTGTATCCACTTTATTTGAGCTTTAATGGATAGTTGTCTCATTGGCAATCATACCTCATCTCCTTATTTTTATATTTAAAGCAGAGAGTGGTTGACTCTTGGTCAAAATAACATGTTCCTGTGGACTGTTATCGTGTGAATTAGTACGTTAAAAATCCGGCTTAGCGCATCGGTTTTGTACATAGCACAGTGAAATGAATATCAGATTTTCATGCTTTCGTTTTGAATATGCATTTAATTTGCCACCGGACGTTATTCGTCATCATCATCATCATCATCATCATCATCATCATCATCATCATCATCATCATCATCATCATCATCATCATCATCATCATCATCATCATCATCATCATCATCATCATCATCGTCGTCGTCATCGTCATCGTCGTCGTCGTCGTCGTCATTGTCATCGTCGTCGTCGTCATTATCATCGTTGTCGTCGTCGTCGTCGTCGTCGTAATCATCATCATCATCATCATCATCATCATCATCATCATCATCATCATCATCATCATCATCATCATCATCATCATCATCATCATCATCATCATCATCATCATCATCATCATCATCATCATCATCATCATCATCATCATCATCAGGTGGGATTTTAAATGTGCTTTGTCACCATGGATGTTACCTTTTTTAAAATTAATATACACCGCCAAATTTGTAGTATGGAGAATCAATTGTTTTCCTCGTTTTTCTCTATTCAAAGGAAACGAGTGCGAAAACCTGCTGCAGTATATGAAGATATGCAGTTTAATACGGGTAAGTTAAATCTGATCATCTCCATTGTAATGACGGTGTTTACCTATACGTTTTGTATTTATCGGTTACAAAAAGTATAACTGCTGTCCATTTCTCATTCATTCATCATTTGCAAATTTATATTAATATATGTGAATAAGATGCATTGTCGAAAACATCAACTGGAATGTTACCCAACAACACCGATAAACTATAAAATATTTTGTTTTTATTATCAAAAAATTGGGGTTGTTTGTTATGAAAGTTTTCATTAAATTAAAATGAGAAGATGTGGTATGATTGTCAATATAATAACTATCCAAAAAAACTGAATTATTGGTCACTACGGCCTTCAACAAAAGAACAAGGCCAATACTTCATAGAATCATAGATGCAAACTCCTTCTCATATGTCATGAAACACACTAATTCCAACAGCAAATACAACGAAGGTGTTATTATCAAAATGATGAACTTTTGTATCGATAGCATATTAGTTGAGTTAGATGGATTGATATTTCAGCACAGTCGGAGAGCTAATGGATACTACTTGTCCATCCTTACTGGCCAACTTGGTTTTGTACTCTTATGAAGTAGAATCCATACCACCTTCTCAAAGACAAAAATGTAACGTATCGTGCAAAGTTTTTTTTAATTTCACCCTCATATATGTTGATAAAATTCAATCGGAAACCATGCGGCATTTCAGTCATTGTTTATATCTCATCATTTGGTGATGTTTATTTTTTAAATTAATTACTTTGTCAAATGTTTTTTTTTTCAATTCTATGAACTTTAAGCGGAGGAATTTTTATATTAAAAAGATTAACATCTTGAGCAAAAATTTTCAAAACACATTTTCTAGTTCCCTGTATTTTACTGATAGATGAATTCGTACTGTTTGCAGCTACATTTACAAACTGTGTAAACGGTGTTCTCTATTAAATTGCATTTGCGTTTTTGTTATAGTGTGACTTTCATTTTGACAACAGTACATTTAATTTGGTGTATTAATTTCGTTTTCGTTATTGATTTTTGACTTTGTTATAACATGAGGCATTATAGAATGAATTTTGCAGACTTAAATTGCATATTAACATAAAAATAATAATACAATTTAAAAGTATTTGCGTGTTTTGACTGAAATTTCGCTAGCGATCGAAATTTTGGACAATTAGTTAGAAAATATTGTTTCAAATGCTAAAGCATGAATAAAACCCCTCTTTAAAATCATTTATATTTGATATCAAACAAGCATGGTCCCTTTGTATTGCTGTATACTTTAACATGTAGTGAATATACATAGTCAGTTTGGTCTGCCAGTGTGCTGTGACTTCGCGATCACCTCAGGACAGTGAACTGTATAAAATCTTTTGTGAATGTACTTAGTACTGTGATTTCATGTTCAACAAATACAATGTATGTTTAGTCCTTTAATATCCTTAATCTTTGGCAGCTCTAGGCTTTTGAGACATAACATGGTATGGATCTCATTTGGTCTTTCTTAATTATACGAAGGATCCGTATATTGTGGCATAGATTGAACCTTTTGTCAGTTTTTAGTATATTCTTTTTTGAAGTATGTTTTGTGTATTCCACTGTGCAAAGGACCCATTAATTTGTTATTATTGCGATGTGAGGTCATTGGCACAGAAAAGACATACTGGATCATATCATAGCTCATCATGGAAATAAAAAATTGATTATCGCCAACCATCTATCATTTAGGTAATTTAACTTTACGTTATGGGAAGTTAAAACATATCAGAAACAGATATTCATTGATTTCAATGGAAAAAGTATTAACAAATGCATCAGTTTTGAAATCGCCAACAACAGTTAGTACAGCTCATAAAAAAATTGAAAAAAATAACATATCATCACAACCATATAAACAGATGACTATATTCTAAAATATATTAATAAGCTTGATGTCTTTACATTTAACAATGGTGATGATGGTGATAACAAAGATTATAGCATTTTGATGATGCAATGCAAAGTATTATTGAACTATAACCAGAGGTCATAATTGCTTTGAAGAAAAAACAAGGAGTTTGATCGAAACTATAAACCGTTTTTTTCCAAAATAATCTGACTTGAAGACAAACCAATATTCGTTTCTTCTATTTTTAGATGTAGTAATTCAACTCAAATGAGATATTTGGATGCAATTAACAAATCTGGCAAATGGGGGTAAATTGTTTCCATGGAAGATTTCTTGGATTTATGTCCTAAGAAAACTCTGCTTTAAATTTGGTAATGGAGGTTTATCGCAGTTCAACTTTGCCTTGCCATCAAGCTCAAATTGACAAGCAAACCAGTTGTATCAAAGTAATGGGGAAAAAAACAAAAACAAAACATCATGATTACTTCCGCACGTGCTTGAATTATTTTCTGTGGATGATAGACAGAAAAGTTAAAAGATTTGTGTAAACGGCAATAAATTAACCTTTCAAATAGACCAATTTGCGACACTGTATATTTCTTTAGTTTTGAAAACAAGCATATTTTGTATTTACGAACAATTAAAGTAAATAAATCCTTAGTAGTAAGAGAGCAAAAAAATGATAAGCGGTTTCAACTGGAGATATTCTATATTTATGCCTTAGCGATATTTGTAGTCCTTTCCAGTTTGTATCAAATGGATTAGACTTTGGATGACTGCCTGAAAGCTATTGCCAACATAAGATTAACTCTCAATTATGTACTAAAGTCTGATAAGCTGTTTTTAAGTGGAGAAATTTTACACATGCAAACCCAAAACAAGCATGTGTGCTTATCCGGAGTTGATGATATTTTGGCAGAGAATGACAATTTACACGATGTTTTCCTGCTATACAAATGGTATACACCGACTAATAGTTTCATACACAGTTTGCGAGGTTATGATATGGTGAAGTTAAAATTACACACCAATTTGATCACAATATGATATGAAACTGATAGCTGAGGTTGTAATATTTTACTACAACACGAAAGACACAGTACAAAAAAACGTGAAGGCACAGTACCGTCTTACAGATTATAAAAGCGAAGTCACAGTACACTTGTAAACTAAACCGACTATATATATTCATTCCATGATAAGATGCAGCAATATTAAGGATCATGCTCGTTTTATATCGAAAGATAAATGATTTGGAGAAGGGTTAAATTCATGTTTTTGCATTTGTAACATTTTCCAAATAAATTGTCAATAATCTGGGAACATCATCGAACGTTCAGCCAATACACCCAAATTCTTTTACATATTGTATAATTAATTTTATGTAAATATGCAACTTATGTATGCAAAATTCATTCTGTAATACATCAGGTTATTAAAAAGTGAAGAATTAATTTGAAAACCAACAATAGAAAACATACCAAGCCATTTCAATTGATATTTTATAGTTTGCCTTTCTATGTTGTGATGTTACACTATTGTTTCAGATAAGGGTGAAGGTTTGGTACCATTAAAACGTTTAAACACGCTGCAATTGTTTGCACTTGTCCTAAGTCAGGAATCTGATGTTAAGTAGTTGTCATTTGTTGATGTGGTTCATAAGTGTTTCTCGTTTCTCGTTTTTTATATAGATTAGACCGTTGGTTTTCCCGTTTGAATGGTTTTACACTGTCTAGTAATTTTTGGGGCTTTTTTAATAGCTTGCTGTTCGGTGTGAGCCAAGGCTCCGTGTTGAAGACCGCACTTTGACCTTTAATGGTTTACTTTTATAAATTTGGACTTGGATGGAGAGTTGTCTCATTGGCACTCATACCACATCTTCTTATATCTACAAACTAAATGTACTATTGTCATTTGTTTTTAAATTCTTTAAATAATTCCTTTTTTACTGATAAATTTTGTTCTGGCAGTCAAAATTGCACTTTCACACTGACAGTTGCAATCGCAGACCATAGACATGGTTCGAAAGAACCCTTTGCGGTATTTTTTTAATCTAATTGAAATCTGCCTTCTCTGTACTTCTAAAAGAGAGACGAATGATACCAGAGGACCATCCAAACTCATGAGTCGAAAATAAACTGAAAACGCCATGGCAAAACCAAGTTTGTCGAAAGTCAGACTATTAATATGAGATATCATACTCGAGTTTTGTTTTGTTCTTTAAATAAACCTATCGACACTTTCCCATTTGTCCCGCGTTGTTTCCTAGGAGTTGTTTTACTACTTTTTGAATGCCACAAAATGCGTGTTAAAAGTTTGGTACAATAATTTTCCGAAGAAAACGGTGGGTTCAACCTGGTTATATAGCTACCTACAACACTCTGAAATTTGTATAGCAGTTGTTTATAGTTCTGTAATAATGACAAAATTGGATGAGTAACTCAAACAGACATAATAGGTTAATGCGGCAATAATTGGGATCCGGCAGCCAATACTGTGTAAACATACATCACAGAAATACAAAACAACTGACTAAGAAATTCAAACAAACATTTAAATTATAATAATCTTAAAAAGACACCAAGAAAAAAAGGTAAATACGACAATGACGTTAACAAAAAAAGTGTTTGTAGTAGATAGTGTATACCGTATACAGTATATAATGCAAAAATTAAGTAAATGTAAATGGAAGGGTAAACATTATAGAAGAGATATCGATTCCTGATTTTATCTTATTGTTGGTTACGTCACTATTAGATAATTGGTCAACTGTATATGTTATAATATATAGAATAGTTGTTAGGAACACATGTCAATTTAAATGAGTTTATTGAACCTTAACCTCATTTTCATGCTGTAGTGACCATCGTTACGTTTTCGTGATGAGTATGAAAATAAAGTTTTGTGGTATGATTGTAAATGAGACAACTAAATACCAAAAACAAAAGTTTAACCTGACATGAACATGTTTTGGTTTAGACTGACTTTTGTAGCAAAACGTCATTTCAATCGAATAGTCAGAAACTTAGGTTCAAAAACATTAAATAAAAAGTACAATGATACAATTCCACACAATTTAAAAGATGCTCTGTCTTTTGCCACGGAAGTTTTTCAAATCTCAGGATGTATTTTAAAAACTTTTTATTAGAATTTTTACGTTACGCTTTTGAAAAACAAGATGGATATTTGTTATCTGAAATATTCATTAATTATGTATATTGTGTAAAAATGTTCTGTTTACTTACTCATGTTATTATATAACGTAAACGCATTTTTGTATGTGTATAGTATCGTTTTTTTTATAACGATCCGAAGCATTCGAAAGAATGGTCATTTACTATTAGTAACTCGTACAATTGGAGTATCATTTCTATCCTCTTTTGAATCGACCAGGAACTCTCTATAACACTTATCCAGGCACCGTTATAATAGTTATTGACACACGCTATCAACTAAGAACAGTTTTAAAAGATATTCGCAATTCTTTCAAAATAACAAATATGTAAAAGTGTTCAATTTCCTTTTCATGAAATTTCCGATAACAAAAAATGGATATATAACAAAAGCAACTTTTTTTTCTGTCTGAATCCTTTAATCCATATTTATACATGTTACATACTTGGTGCAACAGCCCATAGTTGTTATAAAGTTATGTCATCAATTTTCAGTTGAAAGACAACGATCAAGCAACGAGGAAACGTACAGTGAATTGACATGAAGATTGTATCAGATAATTGGTCATAAATTTACTTCATAGTATTTGCACTACCAAGGAACACGAAAAACATATGTTTTGAATATTTTCACACTTGTTATAAATATCAATAATAGCAAAAACCATGTAATCAATGAAACTGTATATGGAAAGTTCTTTTTTTTTATATTAATATGAAAAAAATATATCTGATATTGCGTCAATCGTCAATTATTTTTGTTTATCTCTGGGCCGACCTGGTAACACTAACAGCAAACATGATTAATTGTTTCACTGAAAAGTGTTCACTATTTTTTATTGAAACATTGTAGGATAAACATCACATCCAGATGGATAGAACTACAGAAATTATATATTAATATATTACAAATATACTTGTAAAAAGGGTTCACTGATTAAGACCTCGTAAATTTTACAGTTGTTTTCCAGTCGTTCCGTTGTTTAATATAGTCGAGTGTTTGGTTTTGTTAGGTTTAATGGAATTCCCCTTTTTAAATGTACACTGAAATTTGATCATCATGATTCAATGTTCGTTTTGTAAAATATGCAGCATATATTAGTTAGTCAGTAAAATTTACCAACATTCAATCAATCAAGCAAATTTACGCGTGCAATGATAGACCTGCTCTAGATTTTCTTCAAAATACTGTTCAGTCGTCAGTGAACGGGATATATATTTTGAAATATTTTCCCTGTGATATTAATTGTAAATCTTTTAAAACTGGACTTGATTGCACATTATCAATTAAAAATATGCGTCAATAAATCATTAACAAGGCAAAAATGTCCAACTGACACTTAAAATTAAAACGTAATTTTACCTTAATTGACATCTGTGCAATCAAGACCCGGTTACAAGAACAAACCCTAAATGTAGTACACAGGACGTTAATTTTTGCGGTCAAAGCTAGAACATCTACACCACTTCTGTGGACCTACGAAGTTTACATTACAAGCATTTAAATAAAAATCTTCCCAAAACGTTTATTTCAATTATAAAATGTACAAACAACTATATCCTTCCAGTCTGAATGATTATCTAACAGGGCAGGGGATCAAATGTCATTTTAAATGTCATATTGCTTTTCTTTTCATGAAGAAAGTATAACAAAAATAATTAACTCCAATGTAAATTCAGGAAGGGGAAGTCCATAACAACTGACAAAATTAAACGTTACCAACCAACGGAACGAGTGAAAATCAATTAGAATATTCCTTACTTGGTATAGGCATTTTTCGAAGAAAATGGTCGGTTAAACCTGGCTCTATAGCTAGATAACCTCCCACTCGTATGACAGTTGTTTATGGAACGCCACAGCTGTCTTATGTGGAACTCTGATATTACTTTATGTTGTTTTATTATTACTTGATGATATTTTGTCTTTACTTAATATGGTTTTGACATTACGTAATGATGTTTTGATATAACTCAATATGGAATAGTCATTACTTAATGATATTTCGATATTACACGATATGGTTTCGTATTGACTTGATATAGTTTTGTCATTACTCAATATGGTTTTGTCATTACTCGATGTGGTTTCACCATTACTTAATGTGGTTGTGTCATTAGTCAATGTGGTTTTAACATTACTTGATGTGAATGTGACTTAACGGTATGTAGTTGTTTCATTACATGATGTGGTTTTGTTATTTTGTAATGATGATTTGCCTATTCTTTATATGGTTTTAACATTACGTTATGATGTTTCAAAATTTAACAATTTTACACTACATGATGTGTTTGTTTCATTATTTGATTTGGTCCTGCCATTCTTTGATGTGGTTATCCCATTACTTGATGAGGTAAAATCACGTGACCAATTCGGAAAAACCTGTTCTATTTTTAGATAGATTCCCAGTTGTATGTGCCTTGGATGAGTGTGGCCATCCATCGAATTTGACTTCGTGTTACTGTTTGAGTTAAACTTTGAGTTAGTCTTCGATTTCGAATTCAAGTCATTATTAGAATTAAAGTTTTAGTTAGCATTGAGTTTCGAGATGGACTTCGAGTTTGAGTCACATTTAAAGGTAGAGTTCTAGTTACAACATTACATTTGAGTCACTTTTTGAGGTAGAGTTTGAGTAAGATTCGAATTAAAGTCTCATTTAGATTGATTAAGATTATGAGTTGAAATGTGAGCTTTCTTATATGGGTTCGTAATTAAATTTTCTATCGCGGAACAAGGACTATTTTCGGGCTTCCGAAGAGAGGGCTCCAGGTTATGCGTACAAAAGATAAACAATGTTACAGTATACAAAACGCAACAATGAAGTTGAAATTAAGCTAGATGTGGTGTGATTGACAATGAGACAACTATCCAATGAGTTTAAATGCAGTGGATGTAAGAAATCATATATAGGCAACCGTACAGCCATCAACACACCGTTTAGTCAGCTACAAAAGGCCAACATGCACCATGTGAAAAAATTCAAACGAAAAAACAAACGGTCTCATTTATAAATAAACAATCTACAAAAAAAAATGACACACATTTATACAACGACAACAATTGAACTTCATGCTCCTGACTAGGGGCAGGTACATAAAGTGCACGTGGCTGAGTTTAACATGTTTGTGAGCGCTAAATCCTAACCTTACATCGGACTGTTACAATTGTGTAACAGCATACCACGAGAAAAAAAAATGTAAACTAGACAAAGTGATGCCCCCGCACTCAACTCATTTAACCGCTTATACCCCAAAAATGACAAAAACAAGTTCAATTGTCTCCCAAAAAGAGCAAAAGATAATAAAAATAAAATCCCTGACCACATGCACACCTACAATATATGTACAAACAGCCAGCAGAGTGAAAACTTCCTAGCATTCAAACTGTAGGAGGAGTTATCTGGAAACGCTCTTCTTATGCAAGTAAATTTCCCAAAAAATTACAAAGTTCAACTATCTCCCAAAAAAGCAAATATTAATAAACATTAAACCCCGACCATATGCACACCTTCAATATATGTACAAACAGACAGTAAAGAGAAAACTTCCTAGGATTCAAACTGTAGGAGGAGTTATGCGGAATAACTATATACCCATAATTGGACGGACAGACGGACGGACAGGGGTAAAACAATATGCCCCCCAGCTTTCAGTTGGCTGATTCAATAGATCGGTATGACTGGGTAATATAAATCCATCGGGTTGATCTCGGATGCTCCAGAAAGGCACCCGTCGTGTTATTCGAGAAAGTACAAACCCAGTGATTTGGTTTTATTTGGAAGTTTACATTCAAGGAAAAGATGACGGTATTATGGTTACGACCACTGGAACATATCCGTCGTCACATGTGAAACAGATATTCCAAAAAGTTTATTTTTCAATTAGTGCGAGGCAGATCAGGGAATTCAATTGATTACAAATAAAAGATTGATATTCGTATAAGTTCAAATGATCATTTACGCTATAAAAAAAAATTCGGAGAATTCTTATTTTATAGTATTGATGCTTTGTCGCTTAGTCCGAGCCCCTTCTCCCCCCGTTTCCCTGTAACTTTAGTGTGAGTTGATTTGAAGTGTTTCATTTGTCAACAATAAAGTTCAAGTCTTTTGATTTGTGTCGAGCCTGCGACATCAATGTAGCGGCAGTGAGACACAACAAACCTATATTTCGTCGTCGATAGTGGCGTCGGCGTCTCCATCTTCATTTTTTTATTTCAATTGAGTTTAACCTTTCATTATACATGTTACTAAACATGTTTGCCATCATAATTTTGTACTTTTAGAATATCATACTGTATTTGTTTACCTCGACTATTGTATCTGTATTTATATTGTATGTTTCTCTGTAAACTTGTATTTAGTTTTTAGAGAATAAAGTATCTATGTATCTATAGATCGTTAGGTTTCTAGTTTTTTACATATTTCATTTCGGGACCTTTTATAGCTTACTATAGGGTATGGGTTTTGCTCATTGTTGAAAACCATACAGTTTTGTTTTAGTTAAATAAAACCGAATTAAACTGTTTTGACATAATAAATTTGTAAACCTGAATGAAGTGTTTTAAAACTTGTATAGGAGTTATTCCTCAATTTCAAGAAAAAGCATCTACAGAAAAATCTTTTTTTTTTTAATTTTGTTTTTACCGATAAATGTATAGATAAATGTACAGCCGATCAACATGACGCTTTTACACTTACAGCAGCAATATCAGGCGAGACAAATGGTTCCGTGGAATATTTTACAAATTTATTACAAAAATACTGCTTCCGTTTGAGAACTTAGGATAAAAACAACAGGACCAAGTGGTTTGGGGATATCCCAATTATGTCCGAAATACTGTAAACTTTTTAATACTTTTTTTTTATTATTGTCTGCCGTTCCCCTTTTTCATACCAAATAACTCTGAACAACCACTCGAACTTTAATTTGAACTTTAACTCAATGGATAGCGATACCCATCCAAAGCACATTAAACAAACGATATATTGAAATCTGTTTAAAAATAGAACATATTTTTTTCCGAATTGGTCACGTGGTTTTACCTCATCAAGTAATGGGATAACCACATCAAAGAATGACAGGACCAAATCAAATAATGAAACAAACACATCATGTAGAGTAAAATCGTCAACTTTTGAAACATCATTGCGTAATGTTAAAACCATATAAAGAATAGGCAAATCATCATTACGAAATAACAAAATCACATCATGTAATGAAACAACTACATACCGTTAAGTCACATTCACATCAAGTAATGTTAAAACCACATTGACTAATGACACAACCACATCAAATAATGGTGAAACCACATCGAGTAATGAAGAAACCATATTGAGTAATGACAAAACTATATCAAGTCAATACGAAACCATATCGTGTAATATCGAAATATCATTAAGTAATGACTATTCCATATTGAGTTATATCAAAACATCATTACGTAATGTCAAAACCATATTAAGTAAAGACAAAATATCATCAAGTAATAATAAAACAACATAAAGTAATATCAGAGTTCCACATAAGACAGCTGTGGCGTTCCATAGTTGTTCATAGTTTCGTTATATTGACAAACTGTTGTGAGCAACCCAAACAGACATAATAGGTTAATTTGACAATAATTGGGATACAGC